CAGGAGAAAACCACACCCCCACCCACACTGGCAGGGGAAGCCCCCGCCCATAAGGAGGGCGCAAACCCCACACTCTCCTCCACTGGTGATGGTGCCTAGCTGGGTAATGAAGCGTCTGCAAGCAAATAACCAAGCTCAGAGAGCACCAAGGACTCCACAGGTCAACCCTGAGCTACAGATATGCTCTGCTACTGTTTGTCCTGCGCTGATACTTCTGCCTCCTTGCATTTGCATTTAGCGCTCCCCTTATTGCTGTCTTAGGCTTCCAATTCTCATCTCCAAACAAAAGGCCAGTTCACCTGGCATGGGGGCAATTCAGGGACATGCCTAGGAATTAACCTTGCATGAGTTTTCTTAGGCATGATCTACAATACACTGTCACATTTCTCTTCACGTAATGAAGAGTTTCAGCCCCCTTTAGTCTCCAGGTGCACCCCTTCAATCCTCAGCCCTCTAGCATCGGGGCTGTGCATGAACAAAACGCCATGAATAGTCTGCGTAAGCCCCACTGAACAGTTGGGAAATAGTATTTGTCTCTTTTATGTGGGGAACGTGCAGGAAAAGACCATTTCTAAATGGTGTTTGGAGTGACTTTGGCTAGGAATGATTACGAGCCATCCTTGGACCATTTTAACCTCTTTCTTAGTCTACAATCCTACCCCCTCCTAGTGTCTCACTCTGTCCATTAACACAAGCTCTCCTGTGTCTGTTCCTTAAAAAAAAAACATGGGGAAGACGTTAATAGTCTTCTGTTATATCAAACAGCTAATGCCCCCTCTTCATGATCTTATTGCAAATGTTCATATTAAGAGTCAACCTCCAGGCAAGATTCAAATAAATAAATAAATAAATAATCTCTGCCTCTGCCATACGGGAAAGAGGCAATCTCTCTTTGAATGGGATCATTACATTTATTTGAAACACCTAGAAATGAAGCTGTAAATGAATTTAATGAAGCATAGTAAATTTTAAAGTTACTTTTATGGACAGCGGAATTGCCCAGAGTCAGTGCTTTTAATGAAGTTGCCTTGACTGGCAAAGAAATGCAAACTGATGGGACAGCAAGACATTAGCGCCTATTAAGAGCCCCTTCAAGGGACATCAGATGGTTTATGGCAGATGATGAAGCCAAGAGAGTTTTTGAACTTCTTTGCCCGCGGGAAACATGCTTTTCTTTTTTTAAATACTTCTGTTGTTTATGAACTTTTGACTCAGATAGCACTCAAAAGCTTCAGTGGGAGACTTTTGGCTTGAGTTTGTCCTACTGTCAGGAGATGAAGTTGGGGGCCCTTGCACCCTGCTTCCTTTCCTAATATCGCTGCCTACTTCCCCAATCTTTGGTCTCCTGGGGACCATGTATAATCCTTGCTAGGGATTTCATGCTCCATCTTTGACAATCTTATCTGCTCCCTGACTTCGGTGGAAGTATTGTTCTTAATTCTGGATGTACTATGTATTTTATATATATTTATAGTTTTAATGTT